TTCTAATACACGTTTATGAAAGCTTTTAACATACTTAGCTATTAGAACTTGAGGTATTGAATACCAAATATCTTTAATTTTTTCTCTCAATTCGAATTTTTTTAACTTACCCATTTTTGCTAACCTACACTTAATATAAGCCCATACTGCTTCAATGGGATATAGATCTGGACACTGTGGTGGCCATTCTAAAACATGAATGTCATTTTCATCAAACCATTCTTCAACAATTCTTGTAGTATGTTTTGGGTCATTATCTTGCATGAATAAAAATTCATCAAGTCCCATTTCACGTGCAGAGGGTAATAGATTCTGTGCTAAAATCTGCTTAAGAGTTGCTGCTGTCATAGTTGATTCTATTTCAATAAGTCTCCCAACACCCTGTGAGGAAATACAACCCAAAAACATAAGACATCCACCTCCATGTTTTACCGTAGTAACAGTATTCTCAGGTTTATACCTTTTAACTGGTAAATAACACACGTATTGGATTCCATCACTAGTAAATAAGTTAAATTTACACTCATCAGAAAAAATAATGGTATTCAAAGTTTCATTTGAAATACCTAAAAATTTTTTTGAAGAATCAAATCTTTTAACTATGTTTTGTGGTCTCAATAGTGGTTTTTTAGCAAATTTTTTAGTTATTAAACCAAAATTCTTTAGAATTCTTGCTACAGTAAACCTGGAAATTTCAATTTTAAAGTTATTACAAAAAATTTTTGTAATATCCATTAAACTCAATCTATGATTTTTATCATAAATCTTAAACAATTCAAGTTTAAAATCATCATTAAGCTTTTCAACCCTTCCTGATCCATATTTACGTGTAATTGGGATGTTTTTATCTATTTTAAATTTAACATTTGAGACGGCAGTCTTACTTACACTCCTTTTTATCGCAATCATTCTTTGACTGATTCCCTTTAAAAGATCATCCTTAATCAACACTAATAACTCGTATGATAATTGTTTAGACATTAGGCTTTAAAAAAAAACTGTTTAAATATTTAAAATGGAGGGAATTTTTATTATGGTCTTATTTTTTTGCACATATTTTTTTAAAAAAATTTTCTATACTTACATAAAAAACACAAGAGTATAA